TTCAAAAAGAAAACACAGATATTAAGTATTTGGTGAGCCCATCCCTCTTCCCACTTGTCCCTCCCTGTAGGGTTGGGTGACAGGGGACAGGGAAGTGCACTGATTCCTGCGCATTGTGTGAAGTTAAAGGTATATCTGTGATTTTTTGTTTGCCTTCCATGGATTCATTTTCCTATAAAAACATCACTATAACTGTCTTTTGATACCATAATGATATTCCAGTATCTTGGCAATATCATTTGGGCTGGCCTCAGCATCTGATCATCATTTAAAACTATTCAAAGGGGAAATATGTTTTAGGGGGTAAATAAAATGTGCCTTTCCATGGTATTAAAATGAGGTCCTGCCTAGATTTTATTGAGCTATAATTCCACAGGGTATGACTCGGGTCTGGGAAGCACTTTTTTTGCCTTTTCTTAAAATGTTAGCTGTCATTTCTGTTGTTGCTTGTGCTTTCCTCTAGCCATCTCCCCCTCTCTTTCTCATCTGATGACCCTCTTTATGTATTGAGTGGTCTTTGAAAATCATAGGACCTGATGTGTTGTAATTGTTTATCAATGCAGCAAACAGCCAACTCTGTTAGATTTCAGAAAACCTTTCTATTGAGTGAAAGAGGCATATCTTAGGAGTACAGATCTTTTGCCTTTTTTATCGGAGACTTTTAAACAATCCCAGATTCTGGACTTCAGTGTGGATATTGGGTTTGACAAAATAACAATCAGATAAATGAAGCATTATTGTGTTTATAAAAATGTTTGCCATATCCATTATCAAAATTAAATAGATTGGTGTTAATTTAATAGAATATAAAGAGGTCTTTTGCTCAAAAATAAGTTATTTACCTATGTGCTCTTTATCAGAGATGGTTGTGAAGTTTCATGACTTAAACAGGGAATTAAAACTTTCTCTTATTTTTAATCCTATGAATCATTATGCTGAACAAAATGATGATTATAACCTCATTGGATTATTATTTTGATATTTTATCAGAATGATAGATTTTTACTAATAGTATGTTTTGACATCATATTTAATTTTGTTTCTTCCTCTCCTAGATAAAGCTTCGAACATATCAAGGTAAGAGTTTAGGCTTCGGTTTTCCTTGTAATATTTTCTCAGTTCTGGTGTTTGATGAGTTTTAATTCAATTGGGAGTAAAGATAGTGACTTTTGATGTCTAATTGGCTTTTTAACGCTTGAAAATCTTACTCTTCGCCGGTTGGAGTCTAAATGACAATGTAGAGGGAGGTGCCATCTATTGAGATAAGAGAGCCAGAGGAGGAACAGATCACAGGGGTAGGGAAAATAGGATGAGTTTAATTTTGCATAGAAATATTTAGTAAGCGAGTGGGGAAGTGGGGAAAACCTGGAGGAAGCCAGGTTTTTAATTTTTGTTTTTTAAAGCAATTGTACTGATCTGTTTATTTTATTTGATAATTGGAGGACAGAATGTAAGTACATAGGTTGCTTGAATTTTCTGTTTCCCCTCTGGTGATGACAGGGCTGTTTGAACTGTTCACATTTTCTAAGAATATTGGTTAACGATGGGATGTTAGTCTAAGACATTTTATTGTGTTTCCCCATCTTCGAAAAAAGATTAAATAGGAATCTCATTGAAATAGGGTTCTTATATCCATACTTGTTTCCTATATTTAAAATGCCACTAACTAAAACTTGTTTTCTTCAGGATCATAGTCCTGCTAAAATGTTATTTATGGTCATAGTGCCAATAATGTGCCTTTGCTGTTGACACATTGGGGTAATTCAATTTTATTCATTTGTGTAATAATCTTAGAAATGGTTTTGCTCTCTTTTTAGTTAATTTCCATCACAGTTCTTATACGATGAAGACTTACTTGAAAGAAAATTCAGAACTGGTCAAAAAATTATCTCTTTGTGAACACAAGGTATAATCATCCTTGAATTTTTGTTTTCATGGCTTCATCTTGAAGTACCTCCACTTTCTTCTAGTTTAGTTATTTTGCTGTGCCTTCTTTCAACCTAGTGTGACATTTCATTATGTTGTATAACAGTCTAAATTCAAAGCAAGCATCTTATATATAAAGTACCACTTTTTAAATTTCTATAAAGACTTACCCATGGGGGAATAAGTTTCACTATCACTATAGTAAGTATTTTTGAGTTCTGAATTCTTTATTACTATTTGTATAGCTCAATGAAGAAAATAAATTTGCTCAAGAAACTAAGAGGCAGAACAAGATTCTCGGTGATGAAGCACGGAAATTTAAGGTAAAAATCCCTTCTTTTTCATAGATTACACTCTAAAAACAGAAGTAAAAGTAACGAGTAAATATTGCTGATCTCTATATGTTTTGTTGAAGGAAAACATCAAAATGCTGGAAAACATTAATGACATCATTGAAAGGATATTTGCTGAACTGGAATATGACAGAGATAGAAACAACGAGAATCGGGATTTGGTGAGAGTTTTGCTACCAAGTTATTACCATAATTTGATTTTGAGCCTTTTTGTTGATGGGGTGAATTGAGCCCTGCATTCTTCCATGCTGTTCACTGCTGTTCCAAGTACTAATACCCACAATGCCTTTTTAAATTTAAGGACTTAGGAAGAATGTTTTTCTGTTTTTACAACCCTGGGTAATTTCTTTATATCATCCAGCACTTCCTCTCCTCCAAGAAACATAGAACTGAGAAATTGTAGGAGAGAGTACTAGAGACGTCTAGCCATGTTGAACAGTCCTATCCCTCTTAGTGCAGAGCAGGGAATTTTCAAAGTGATTCTAGTGACAGTATTTACCTTCCACTAAGAAAAGCTGCTCATTTGAGCCGTTTGGCTTCAAGGTTTTAGACCTTCTTTGCTTTGCCTTGTCCCCCAGTCAAGTATCTCATTGTCTCAATAGTAGAAAGTTGGAGTGCCCATGAAATATTTCTGACTTCTACTATTCTCTTAGTTCCTCATTTATTTCTGTGTTTGACTTTTCTCCTTGGCTGAAACTGGATCAACCGCTTTTAATGAAACAGGGGCTGATGTGGGGTATGTCTGGTTGGCATTTCTTCTTTTTAGCATACCGTCCGGTGTTCCTATTGAAATCCAGTACATGTTTTGTTTCTATCCTGCATGTAGATAGCAGAAAAGAAAAATCTACAGAGAACTTAAAAGTTGATATTTCAATGAACACCTCAGGAATTTCAGAAGTAAACTACCTAGATTTGCTGCAAGAATTTCATTGTACACCTTAAGTTTGATGAAGAACAAATATGTCATGTCTTAGAATATTAAATTTATATGTTATTGTTTTAGAGATTTTTCTTCTTGGAAACTAAGTCATTAGTGAGAATGTTTGGCTTTAGGTTTGAATCCCCCTTAATGAAGTTCATGTCCGCGAACCAAAATTGAAGTCTGAAGAACAGCAGGTACAGAAGGAAAATGCTCAGCTTACGGGCAAGAAGGAGCAGATAACAAAAAGTTCCTCCCATAGGTTATATAAATCAGAGAACTAAACATCATTACTTCCTTTTAAATTTTCTTATTTTTAATCGAGGTAAAATACACCTAATATTTGCCATCTAACCCTTGCAAGTGTACATTTTAGTAGTGTAAGATACATTCACATTGTTGTACAATCATTGCTTCTTGAATATCTTTTCTCAAATCTGTCTTAAAGTCAGGAGATATGAGTGGAGGATTCAAGGATTCGAACCACAAAGCCTCGACATCTAGTGAATGTAATCTGGAAGGTATGTTGATTGTTGGGAAGAAAATTCCATATATTAAAAATAAGTTTGCACTGGGAAGGTAAAAAATGTCTTCTAGCCTTCAGGATTCTCTCCTTTCTCCTCTCCCCATCACAACCCAGTTCTTGAGAATGTGTGCACACAGACAAAGAAAATTGTTTTATGCTTTACAGAAGGGAGAAAGACACTAAAAGAGAACTGTGAGGCTTTGAGATCTATTAAAGTGGAAAAGGAAGCTGAATTAAAAATGTTGAAGATGAACATAGGCGTGACTGATGAACTCTTTGGACAAAGCAAGATGGTCATAGACAAGTAAGATGTTCAAGTGTTGATAGTTACAAATAGTGTTGTATTAGTGAAAGTATAGACCAATGTAGATAATTATAATTTTGTACAATATTTATCACTGTATTTTCACCATATTCAGTCAGTACAGAATTGTGTTTCTCATTTCTGCCTTGATTTTTGTTATCTGCATCTTCTTTTCCATTCCAACTGATTATCAGCGATTCCTGTTGGTAATTAATTTAGGATATGAGTCCTGGTACCAACTTTAATCACTTCATTATCTGGAACCCTCTTGATGCATTTACATTGTACTCTAGGTTTCAATCTCATCATATTGTCATGACCTGCCATATGTTTATCATTTCCTATTAAATCCTAGACTTTGGGTAGAAAATATTTAGAGAAAAATTGAGGGCTATTTTGTTGTTATCTTGCTGCAGAAAATCTGGGAGTTTATATCTGGCGGGTGATCAGGGACGCCAGCACTACTGAATCCTATTCATCCAGTTAGCAATTCAGACCATTCACTGAAGGCTCAATCCCTCCTAAGGCCAGTGTGTTTTCTGTCCACCTTTGTTCTTAGTGTGTCATCTCCTGGGACCCAGCTAAGGCCTGCAGGTTTTTCTGGGGATGACCTTCATTTAGTGACCGTGAACTCCAGTTGATTTACTTCTGTGCCCGTGGATGTGTGCAAACGCTCCTCAGCTTCTTTGCAACTCAAAGTCTCCTCTGGAATTAGTTCATGAACCCTGGGGAAAGTGGCCCCAAATGCCAGGCTGATCATAATCCTGGGCTTCCTTCTTCTCCATCTTGGCTTCATGTCTCTCTACTGGCTTGTTAGCAATTTGGTGCAATCATGAATTTTCATATTTTGGCCAATGTTTCCTGTTGTTCTCATGGGGAGATGAGGGATTTCACACCCACTCATCCATGTTCAAAAGTAAAACTTTTCTTCTATTCCCGTAGGAGTCAGGTTTGTCTTATCCCTTCCCAAGCCTGAGGTAGGGCTTTATCTCCACACTGGCATCTTGTTTGTATTACATATGAGATGTTTTGGGGTGGAGATAGTGCCCTGCTTCCCTCTGTGTCCTCAACACCTTACAATGCACCCACTACTTTATAGCTTGTCCAGACAGCATTTGCTGAAAGGTTGCCTGGCTGGCCAGAAACAAACACATGAACTTTCTCTCTGTAGTGTTTCTGTCCCAGTTTCCTAGAGCTCTTTTAATTTTGTGTGTGATCCATAGCAAATGCAACGTCAAGTTGAGAATCTTTTGAATCAGAACCTTGAACAAAGTAGTTTAAAGGCAACACAGCAAATCTGCCTTGAGCCCTTGCCCTTTGCTGCCTTCGCTGTCAATGAAATCAAAGTATTTGTTAATGAAATCAATCTGCTATTAAAGCAGATCAATATCTTCAATTCGAAGGCTTTCCATTTTCAGGAGATAACACCCTGACTATGGGGCAATTCAGATCACCTTTCATTCAACAGTTTCTGTTCTGCTCAACTAGGACCTTTGAAGTAGGTGGCAGGAGTTCCACTCTTGAACTGTAGAAATGTCCAGTAGTTAATTATCCAATGTTATTACACCATGTCCAGGGAGGATCCATGGCTGTGTCATGGCCTCTGGACTTTCCCTGGGAGAAGTCAGACAAGTCATGAACTCCTGCTTCATCCTAATGTGTTTAGTTGCGAAGAGCTGGTCAGGCCTGGTTTCCACATTGAAAGAAAATGAACGTACGCTGTCCCAGTCACAAGAGACCAAGCGTGGGAGGGCACATGGCGCATCTCATATGTGCTTTTCATATTTGTTTAGTTTATTTACTAATGACTAGGAAAACAGAACTGGGAAGAGAAACTCAGAATTGCCAAAGACTTGCCAGCAGACTGGAGTTTGATTTTTCTCTGTCCTCTGATGAGGGGCTTCAATTCTTTCCTCTCACTATATTTGTCAATCTACGCATTTGTGGGGAAGGATGGGAGGGGACATTTGAATCCTGCCCTTTAGATTTCTGGGAGGCTAGAAAGGCAAAATGTCACAGGGGCTACTGGAAAATGCATATTTTTTTCCCCTCTTAGGAAGCTGAGAATGAAAGAACGTGAGAGGGTGGAAAAGGAGAAGCAGCTCTCATCAGCAGAAAAGAAGGTGAAATTGGCTGCAGAAGAAATGCAGCGCTGCAAGTGAGTTCAGCTTCTGACCGTCAGCAACTTATAACACCCTTGCTGGATTTAAACTTTTGTACAATGTTGAGACCCAATTCATATACAAATACAAACAAATGTTCAGAAGACATTTATATAGAGATTTCCCTCAAGAATGAACAATGTTAAGTTTTACAAATGTCAAGTTAAAATATTAACTTAAAAAAAATGAAGTTCCGAAAAATTTCCTGATCCTTAATGCTGGCCAGACTGTGTGGAAACGTGGTTCACAAAAATGTTTCTGGAGGAGGTAAAAATTGTTAGAAACCTTAGGGAAGCAGTTTGGTGTCAGACGAATCTCATCAATAAATATGCGCATGCCACTTTAGAGACCCAGTTGTTGTAGTCCTGAGGAACATGATCAGGATAGAAGGAAAAGAAGAATCAAGCTGTATGATGAAAGGTACTCACTGCAGGATAAATTAGGGAGATACTGAGAATCAGCAAGGGAATTCTATCAACTGAGAAGCTGGCAGGCATTCGATAATAAATAAGGAAACAAAGCAGCAATCGCTTTGATCCTACTTACTTTTGTAACCTCATGAAATGTGTCTTATAGGATTGGATGATATGTATAAGGGTACAGTTTGGATAATGGGAACATGGACAGATTATTTAAAATCATCCTCAATATTGTGCTTTATCTGATGAAAGCAATTGTCACTCATAGGCAACAAACTGATCAAATGCGGCAACAGGTGCAGCAAGTAGAGTCCACCTTCAGACACCAGGTAACCTGCATTCTGCCCAAAGTTCCTGGATCCTTCAGCACCCAATGCAGAGGGTTACAATGGCCCTTGGAAGCCCTAACATAGGGTTTTTAACCTGTTGGCTTTTCAGATCGCTGTGCATGAGAAGAATGCTCAAGATAGTTGGGTAAGTTTTGTTTTCCTTCCTTCCCTTTGTGCACAGTCTGTCACAACTGAAGCTGGGTGTATTTTTCTCCAACAGATCAAGGCTCGGATTTTGGAGAGGGAGATAGTGGAGCAGAGCAGGGAAGCCGCTCACTTGAAACACAGGTGTGGGATTTTGAAAAACATTTTTTAAGGGTGTTTTTGAGGTATTAAGGCTAAGCTGTTTAGTGCCTAGCAAAGGACTTGGTGTTGTAATTCTTACTGAAGTCCATTCCTTTTCTATATTCCAGATTGGAGATAATGTCCCAAAAGAGGCTGCCTGAGGGATACAGGCCATACGAACCAATGTTGCAAAGACCTGGGATGCAGAACCCTGCACAGAGAGGTAGGGAGCACATTGTGAAGTGCAGCCACTTAATTTCTGCTGCAAAACCACTCCATGTCCCACTGTTCCTGTGGGGGATTGTCATGTTGTCTGGAAGCAAACCCAAGCACGACATAAAGACAACAGGTTGTCTCAAGGGGTGACAGGAAGATGTCTTCCTCAGGTGCCCCAGCCACAATGGCTTTCTGGGCCTGTGCCCTGTGACTGGTGGAGCTCATGCCCCTCCACTGACCGTGGACCTTCTCCACTCACCAACACCTCCAGGACCTTGGGTTGCTCTTAATTGGAGAGATGTGCCTGGAGGGGTTATGGGTCTATGCTTCCTTCCCACCTTGAGTCAATGGTGAAGACTTTGTTTTTCTTTTAGTTGAGAAAAAAAAGTCATTTCCATACCATTTTGGAGGCTCCCTTATTTTTTCTGTTTAACTTTTAATTGTGGACTATAGTATTCCATTCATAAATTAAATTTCTAAGTAATTTTACTCCTGACATTATCAGGGTAATGCTACAGCTTTACTGTTAAATCCCCATATCTTCCCTTTTCTTATTACTATAATATTATCCTAAGTCCATTTCTTTTCATAAATATTTATATAATGCCTGGTCACATATAGAAGGTAGCTTATATGAAGAGTGAGAGAGTGAAAAATCCACCTGTGGCCTGAAGAAAAGGACCTGTGCTGTTCATTTAAGAGTGTCTTGCTATTATCCCATCCAAGCTTATTCTCATTTTAATTTTTCTCTGTGATGAAACTGTGAGTTCCCTTGATGTGTATTGGGAAACCCTCTTTCATTGTTGATTTCCAGCTAGTTGAGCCCTGACTTTTCCACAAGTGGTTGATGAGTAACAAAAACTCCTGAACCAGGGCCCTGTGGTGTCTTCCTCGAGGGTCAGGGGATGGTCTCCCCCTTGTCCTTAGGGGTCACCTGAGGCGTGTAGGGAACCTCCACTATTGGTGAGGGCCCTGAAGTGGGAAAGAATGTCAGATGGTGGAGGAAGGCGTGGAGGGTTTGTTTTCCTTCCTCACAGTGTGTGCAAGTATCTCTTATACAGAGGGAAAGACGCTTTCTACAGAAATGTGGAAGGAGCGGTTCTGTGGATGCACGTTGTACAGAGACCATGTGCCGAGCTCTGTGGGGGATGAGGCACACCCCTAACTTCAAGGGCTTAAGGTGTCCTAGAGCAGAGAGAGATTTTTCTATTAAAGAGCTTGTATTCACCATGATGGAAGCACCAGTGAAGGGCACTGGAGGAAAAAAGAGGGAGACGTGAATCTCACCAGGATGAAACGGGAGGTTGTGGCAGAGAAGGAGGAATTGAGGAGGGGCCTGGTGGGAGTTGGCTGGGTTACCTTAGATGGAGCTGGAAGGCCATTCCCAGCAGGGCAAGCAGCTTGAGCAGGGAGTGTGAAGGCAGTGTGAGGTCCACGCAGAGCCACTGCGTGTTTTCCAGTCACACAGTGTGGGCAATGCAGTTGTCCTCACCAAGATGTCACTGTTGCCATAAAGCCCTTGGTTCATAATCTAAATAGAGATCTTGTTTCCCTTGGGTTTCTGAAAGTTCTGGATCTGTGTGATAGAAAAAGTGCCTGGAGGTTTGGAGATTTTACTTGGTTCTTTCAGGATACTGTGTCTGCCTGAGATTATTGTGCCCCCATGAGACTAAGAGTGCAGACAGGATCTAGATCAGCTGAGTGGCTGCCTTGGCCTTCAGTGAGTCGGGCTCTTTGTGGGAGATTCAAGGTTGACCAGCAGCCACCCCTGCTGGACCCCTCTCACCACATCCCTGCATCCTCCAGTCACCACCCCTGACTGTCAGCTTTGCATCTCCCTAAGCTTACCACACAGTATCCCATCTCTTTGCCTGTGTTCCCGCTGTCTCAGCCCCTAATACCAGCTCTCAGTGGGGCCTACTCAGAGCCTCAGCCCCGTTGTCTGTGAGAGGGGGTAATACTGGCTTCTGAGGTCATTGTGAGGAAGACAAGACTAAGTACATAATGAAAGTGTCTTGCAAAATGGCTGGGACATGTTGGCACTCACCATTCTCACTGTTCAAATGAAAATATCTCCACACAGAAGATTATCAGAAGATGGTCACTGAGGTACATTCAACTAAACTAAGGGCGTAAGAGCTCAGGCCCAGAGATGCACAATTCCTGTTTCAAAAGATGAGGCAAAGAGTCCCCTTTTTCCTAGTGAAATTCAGGAACTTCCAGTCAAAAAAGGAAAGATAATTTTGAGAATATGTGAGTTCAGAGATCTATACCTGAGATCCAAAGGCAATTATTTTCCATTAAATATGCAGCCACACAGTAAAGTGCTCATCAGAAGCCACAGATATATTATAGAAGACAAATGTATACAGGACAAAATAAGATCACATTGAAATAACCTCAAATCTTTTTGCCTTACAGGACGATGATTTTGAAAGAGGAGCCTGAGCCGTGATAAAAAGGCTATGGCAATTGATTATGGTTTTCCCTGCCCAATCCTGCCTCCTCCACTTTTATCTTTCCTATTGTCTCCCCTAATACACCCGTTATGGTTCTAACTCAGTGTCAGCGTCTGCTTTTTGGAGGACCAACCGACTCACTCCAGGGAGTGTACACAGTGTGAGTCTTGTACGCGCAGTTCAAAAACAGGCAGAAACCATGGGAATGAGGCAGAAGCAAGGTTATTTTGGGAGGGGTACTGTTGACTGCGAGGGGCCTGAGAAATCCTTCTGTGGTGGTGGACACATCCTACATCTGGATCTGGCTGTGGTTGTGTTTGTTCAGTCAGTAAATACTCACATGGTGCCTGCCAGTCCCAGGGGTGTCTGGTGATCAGAGAGACAGCTATCTGTCCCCAGGAAGTGGCCGATTTCTGATGGTGGGGAATAGATGAGGAACCGGGAGTGGCTCCGGGAGACCAGTGAAGAGGCCCTGCGGTAATCCAGGTTTTGAGCCCTTCACTCAACTTGCCAGCTGCCCCCCAATAGCACCAAGTCCAGGAGGCTTTGTGGGGAATTGATGGAAGCAGAATTTTTTGTAAGTCCCATGAGGTCCCATAATCCTCCCATGATTTCCTTACTGAGGGATGGGCAGGGCAGAGATCAATGGCATGGGATCCCCCACATACCCCAAGGAGAAGGGGCTGGGGTGGAAACAGCTGGCTCCCTCCAGGTCCCCCAATCCAATCCATTCTGCCCCCGCAGCCCCTGGAGGCTGAAGGGCCCTCCCTCCTTCCAAGCAGGAGTAAGTGGCCAGCCCTTCATCAGTTCTGGGGTTGAGACCAGACCAAAAGGTCAAGGTCTGACTGTGCACATGCTGCCCAGGAGTGGCTGGGAACAATGGCACAGCAGTAAATCTCAGCATGAACAGACTCGGTAAAATAGATTCTCATTCACTGTGAGCAGAGCCTGGGCCAAAACATGGCAGGGAGGGTGTGGAGGTGAGGGTGGTGGTGTCTGTGGTCCTGGACAGGACTGCAGTGGAGCAGAGGGTGTGAGGGCCTGGGGAGAGAGACAAGAAAGAGACAGGCAGGGGGAGAGTGAGTGATGTCGGGGGCGGGGGGTGGTTAAGTCCTAGAGAGTGACAGGGAGTCAGAAGGAAACAGGACTAGAGAGAAGAAGAGACAAGAGGAAGCAAGGAGGAAGGGGGGGAACTGGGCTAGGGTGGGAGGCTGGAGTGGCTCTGTGAAGGGGCCCAGAGAGAAGCGGGCAGAAAGTTAAGAATCTCGGGCTTCGGGGTTCCCTGAGCTCCAAGGCTCCGACCTCCCTGGGGCCGAGATCTGCAGGGGCCATCACACTTGGGAAGATGGGTACTTGCCATTATTCCTGGGCTCACTGCATTTAGCCTCTGGGTCAATCACTTATAGGGTTGACTTTCAGGAGAATGTGCTGCCGCTTGGCAGTAAACTCCAGAGCCTGCCCTGTGGGGAGCTGACCCTGAGCAGTCTTCCTCACAGCTCCTGAGCTCGTACTGCACTTCCACCCACCCCAGCCGCAGCTGCATTATGTTCTAAAACCAGGTACCGGGCACTGTGCTGCCTCCAAGGTCCCATGCCTGGTACTGGCAGAGATGGGATTGAATCCCATCCAGGGTGCTCAGGCGTCAAGGACACTTTATCTCCTCCTACTGTCAATCAGAAATGCTTCCCACCCTAATGAGTTGGGACCAAGGCTCTGATTAATATTAGGGAAAATGTATTGAGGTTTCCCTCTGAGCAGTATAATGTGCCCAGAGAAAAAAATCTTCATGTGTGTTATCGTATTTACCCAGCACTCCCCATATCCCATTTTAGGGATGAGGAGCCAGAGGAAGAGAATTGCTCAAGGTCTCATAGGTGGCGAGTGCTGTAACTGGACCTTGCAGAAGGTCTGTCTTGCACAGGGGTTCCACCCTGGCCCTCCTTCGAGGCCTGCTCTCTGAGGTGCTGAGGAAGCCTGTGGTTGACTTCGTCTTGGGAAATTTCTCTTATAACGGCATTAAGTCATGCATCAGTCAGGACAAAGAAGGTTACGTCTGTGAATGAGTGATCCAGACTCTCAGTGGCTTACCACAGCGAAGGTTTATATCTCACACACCACATGTCCACAGCAGGTCAACGGTGGCTCTGTTCCACATCCTCTTCCTTGGGGGACTCAGGCTAATGGATTAGTGTCCATTTGGAACCTCGACAGTCCTGTGAAGTTTTGAACATGCCCCTGGTAAGTCAACTTTGTCTTAGGAAATTGGTCTTCTGAAAGCATTAAGTTATGCATTACAGTCAACAACAGTAGAAACACAAAATCCAGTATGCGTGCAAGTATTT